AGTAATCCCTACTATCTGGAGATCACTCATTAACTGTGTTAGTTGTGAACTGAGCAGGAGCCAGGGCTCCAGTTCCACCATCAGGACAGCTCAGTGCATTTAAAGAGGATCCTGTGGGCTTGGGCTGTATGGTGGCCTCCTCTGACCTTGACTCCCTGGGAAGACAACAGCACCCTGAAACCAATCTCTTTGGCCTGCCCAAGCCCTCCCTGGCTCCAAGGGTAGGCTGCCTCAGATACGAAGATCCAATTTGAATCCTGGCTCTACCTCTTCCTAACCAAGTTCTTGGTGACAAGCTCTTTTGAGTCTCAAAGTCTGCAGCAATAAAACTAGAATGCTATCTTCCTTGAAAAGTTGTAGAAAGAATTAAGCACACACTCATGAGAATGTGTCCATTATGCTCTAGCTATGCACAAAGTGCCCATTCCCTCTGCCCACAGGCCCCACGAGGGCACAGTCCCCTCACTCCATACCTTGCTGCCTTGGTTGGTCTTTGGGGTCCTACTTCAATGCCAGGATAAGCTGCCCTAGTCCCTCCCAAGACCCCTCCTGTATCTGGCATCCCCCCTTCTTGGCCTGGCCACAAAGTCTGTCCAACCTTGGGTTTTCTCACAACAAGTAGCTGGTCAAGATAGATGTTAGGACAAGGCCATTGACAGGGGGCCTGAGAGTGCACTGAGATGCAGCTGGAGGTGAGGATTTGGCCATCATGAGGATAAAGAGTAGAATCCAGGAATGGGAGGACTGTCCCCAAGTCTGCAAGCCTATATCAGGGGACACCATATCTGGGACAGGTGGAAAAGGTAGCCCTACAGACAGGGCTAGAAAAAAATAGAAGAAGACAGAGTCAGAGGTACCCTGAGGGCCCTACACAAGGGCACTGTGTGTCCAGGTTCTCCTCAGATGGAGCAGAGCAAACCAGGGTCTCACAGAGGATACCAATAATCACCTTGGTGCTACCCAATTTTTTCAGTGAGCGAGTGTCCCCATGTCCCAGGGGCCAAGCATACCTGTAAGCAGAGAATAGCAGAGTTCAGGACCCTACAACTTGCTTCACAAGATTCAAGAGAAGGAGGCAACTCAGGTTGTTTCCAGAAGCTCAGGAATTCCCCTGAAGACTAAGGTGGGGACTATAGCTGGCAGGAACCGGCAGGTTGGCAGAAACTTCCACAGAACCTCCAAACTTCCTTTTTCTGATTCCAGGCCATGGTGCACTCCTGGCCAGCATACACCTCTGTGGTTTTTACAACTGCAAAGTAACACAGGAACTCCCAGCATCCTGCAGAAGGGGCTGGTTTTATATCTCAGTATGTACACTGACTTCCACATTGCTGAAAACAGCCAGGGAGCAGTTCCCCTGGCCAGACATTCTCAGCTTAGCTATGGTGGAGCTGTCACTCAGAGCACAAAGACAAGCTGGGGATAACACAATAGTAAGAAGCTTAAGCCCCACCTAACCACTAGCCTTTCAATGTGAGAGCCATTTGGTGGCTTGGCCTCCACTGAAATCTAAGGAAATATTGCTGCTGAATGAGCATCTACCAACAAGGACACCAATGATCTCTAACGTAGAAAAAACTTTCCCACCAAATGGATGAGCAAAACAAGACTCCAAGAAATTGAGACTCTAAGAAAGCAAGTATTTTATCTGAAATCAAACTACTAATAAACATAAAAATCAAACTCACATTTTCTAATTCTGCACCCCTCTCCCCCTTCTTCCATTTCAGGTTTGCTTCACACAGTGGTCAACAGTGGTTAAGAATATGGCCCCTGAGGCACCTCAGATACTAGCTGGTAACTGGCTGAGTAGGGCAGGGATTCCCTGGCTGGATCTGAAAAGTGACTGCCAACCACTGGCCACAGGAGGTCTTAGGTCTTCTGTCTGACCCAGCTCCCAGAAGCAGGAAAGCCCTGAAATGCACTCTAAGGTATCACCATCACCCAAGGGAACAGTTGATTCCTGGGAGCCTGGAGGCTAAGGGTTCATTAGCCCAAGATGGGCACCAGTAAGCCAGTTATTCCCTCTGCTAACACTCTGACACTGGCACATCCAACATTAGTCACCGCCCTCCAGGCTAAGCCTGTGCTAGTAGTGGGTCATTGGATTATTGGTTGTGGAAAGAGAAGAATCACACATCTACATTCTGGACTTCAAAGCTCTAGTTGGGGAAGCTGGGGGAACCAGAAGGGAACAGATGAAGCAGGACAGATGTAAGACATAATGGTGCTTGACTGTCAGCATAAGAAGGCTTGTGGCCCAGCCTGGGGAGGGGCATGGAGGTCTGAGAGGGCTGCTCGGAACCAAGGGGGACCATGATGAGCACTGCAAAATCATGATAGGTACTACAGGCAGCGTGTTTGGGAACCTGCTCTCGTTCCAGGAAGAAGATAGAGCAGAAGGGACATGCATAAGGGGAGGACACGCATAATGAGAGGGCCATAAATGCCAGGCTGACTTACAGACTTTCTTGCCATAAAGCTGTTCTGGAAGTCCCTGCGAGGCTCTTAACACAGATTGAGATGAACAGTGTGCAGCAGCCTTTTTCTAGTTGCCGGTCCCAGATCTTAGTGCCAGGTGCTCACAGCCTCCTAGGAGGAGGAGGTAAGAAAAAGGATGCCTGGAATATTCCAAGGGAGCAGAGTCCAGATGACAGGCTGAGGGAAAACGCTGGCTGTTGTTAGGGTAACATGGGGTGTTGAGAGAGGGTGAGAGAGAGTAGAAGAGGATTTGCAGAAGCAGGAGCTTAAGAGATGGAATCTGAAGAAGTAAGCCACCTGGGCAGGTTAGGGAGGAATGAAAGGACAAAGGACAGGCTGGGCTGCATTGTGGGTGGTTTAGGGCACTTATGAGGAAAGTGAGGTGAGAGCAGGGTGGAAAGTTGTAGACAAGGTGCTGCCCCCTCTCATTACTCGCCCTCACAACTCCTGGAGAACTGAAATCACCAGGGAATTTCACAGCATTCTTTAGATCTATAAGTCACCTGTTCAAGTGAGAAAGATTTTTACACCTTTCCAGGATGACTTAGATTGTTCTCACAATCATTCTGTTTATTCAATTTCAAGTATAATCTGGTCCAAATATGAAAAAATTACTAGTTAAACTGTGAAACATATCTGGAGATTCGCTTTCATGGCTTGTTAAGAATCAAGCATTTCTTAATTCCCACAGATCATCAAACGCACAACAAAGGCCTCCATCATACATAAGAGAGGTACTAGTTTTCTTGAACTTCTGTCCTCCTCTGTGTCAGTCAGACCTGGACCGAAAAATCTTGCTTGTGGGTCAATGAGATAAAGGGACACTTGCAAGCGAAATTTGCCCCAATATATTTTTTTCACCAAAGTAAAGAGCAAGGAAACAGTGCTGGCAGTCAGGAGGCAGGGGACAACAGCCCTGGACCAAGTCTCTCTGCCTCTCTGTGACTCAGTTTCCCTACCTACAACCTGAGGTGTTTGGAATAAATCGTCTTTAAGGTCTGCCAATGAAGATCTGATTTCCAGATTAGCCTCCTGTTCAGACTTCAGATTTCTCCTCTGAAAACTGAATATTTGTTTAACTGGAATGTTTAACTGGAAATTCACAAGCTGGTGGATTTCTTAATGTGCCAGGAATATTCCTTCACCCAGACCTAATTATTTTGTGTGCCCAGGAGATGAGTGAATGGCACTTGAAGAGAATCAGAAGGCGCCAAGGGACTCCAGAATACTGCATGAATGGTTGAGACAGGCTCTCCTGGAAGGCAGCACACTCCACTACCTCTCACCCCTCTCCCAGCCTTGCCATGGACCGCCTCTGTGCCTCCAGCATCCCTGCTGCCTTCCACCCCACCCCACACAATCAGACTTAAGAGTGCAGCTCCATCATGCTCCCCCCCCCCCCCCCCCCCCCCCCCCCCCCCCCCGGGGCCTCAGGGAACATTCCCAAGCTCCAGGACCTGGATAATACAATCAACCAATCTTCTTGCCTAATTTCCCACTGTGGGCCCAGTGGTGTCTTTCTTAATGAACTGTTCACTCACCCCTGACTCTCTCTCTTTACTTTCCTATCCCCTATCTGGGAAGTTCTGTCTTCATCTACACATATCCAGTTCCTGCTACCTTCTAGACACAATGCAAGGCTGCTCCCTAGACACAAGAAATAACACTGCCCCTTTCCAATTCCAGCCTCTACCACCACTTGTCCATCCTGTAATTAGAAAGCAGCTACCACAAGGACGTGAAAGCCCTTTCCAGGCTCCAAGGTTGCATCAATACCTGCTCATTCTCAGTAATTATAGTGGGACGGTGATGGTGAGGCTTTGATAATCCCCACGTGCAGGTGAAAGGGGAGGCTTGAGGATAATAGTCGTTCATGCGAGCAAGTGAGGACACAGGCTGTGGCGTCAGACAGAATAAATGTCTACATTGTGTGATTCCCAACTCCATCTTTCCAGTACTCACTACCCATAACACCTGAATCCGAATCACTTTCTTCCTTGAGTATTCATGGTTCATGAAAACGCTTTCTCACTCCTACAATTCTTCAATTTCTAAGATTTTATCAACTATTTAAAGTGTTCTAGAAAAGAAAATCATCATATTAAATACATTTTAAAAATTAAACGATTCAGACACTTTAAATTGTGTGGGCAAAGAAGTACTTTCTGGATTAAAAGGCGAACTTTCAGGCCAGTGATTGGAAGGCGGCCCCCTCCCCCGGAGCAGCGGCAGAATCCGTGCAGAAGGAGACCACCTCTTCCTTTCTCTGATAAGTCGTCACAGACCGCAGGTGTTTCAACACCTGCAAAGACTAGACCCAAAGGAAACAAAGACCCGTGTTCTGATAGCAGGGTGACGCCGCTGGGCCTTTACCCTTTTGAAGTCAGTACATTCGCCCATCCAGACGCCCGGCTCTTCCAGCCCCAGAGTTCCTCACAGCGGGTGCCCGGAGCCCCGCCCACCTCCCCAGTGCAGCTCCCGCGCATGCGCCGGATGTGAACGTCAGGGCGGGCGGAGGACCCGGCGCTGGGTGCTAATTCCAGCCCTTTCTCGGCGGCTGCATTTAATCCCTGCCCTTCTTCTTCTTTAGGGACGCCAGTTCTCGGAGCAGAGAGGCTGGAAACAACTGCGGAGGACTCCGTCCCTGCCTCTGTTACACGCATCTACCACTTCGCCACCTTCCGCACTTGGGGCCCCTCTCCTTGATTAGGACCAAGTTAACACAGAGCCAGAGAAAGGACTGTGGGTTCCCTTAGCGTGTTTCAACATCATTGACTCCCTACGTTTTGGTCAGCCTCCATCACACAGTAAGAATCTTCATATGTACATTACTCATCTTTGTATATCTGTTAATAGTTTGTGGATACATTTTTAAAATCTGATTTTAAAACTATTATTTGGGCAATTTTCTTACTATTTTGAAAACACAGTGACCAATAAGTACTCATTTTTGCATGCCAGTATTCACATCCAAGCATATTTTGCCTGTAACTGATGAATAAAACAGTTTAATTGCATTATGTGCCCACCGTTATATCATAAGCATTGCCCTTTTCCTTCAATTATCAGCTATAATGACCATGAAGCATCCTCTTGATCCTTTGCCCCTCTCTCCTTCCCTAGCGACTGGGTGTTCAGAATGTCTCTACTGCTTTTACAGGTGATGCTGGGGGAAAGGATCCTTGCCACAGTTATTTGCTTCCTGTGAATTGTCTGTGAAGATGAATTCTCAAAAGAAGGATTAATCATTTGTCCAAAGCAAGTTTTCACACTTCTGCCAAATATTGACTGTCCCTCTCCAAAAGTGTTATTTCTTGAACTCTCTAGTGGTAGTGTTGTCCAATGCGAAGTGCACAGGCTTTGAAATCAGGACTAGGTTCAAATTCCAGCTTGGTCACTTACTTTACCTCTCTAAGCCTTCATTTTCTAAAACGGGAATAATAAAGGTGATCTCATCATAAGGATTAAATGAGATTTCAAATACAAGGAACCTACCGAGTGCCTGATTTAGGTGCTAAATCCATTCTTTGTAGCCTCTACATTTTCTCTCTCCTTGGAGTTATGTGGGACAAGCAACTTCTTACTTTTCAAACTTCCTGTCCTTCTTGAACCATGTTTTCCCATGAAAGTCATGGAACAGGAATGATCATCTATAGTGCTCTAATGGGTGCTACTAAAGAGAAATATAAAGCCATCCACAAATTCAAACTGTGTGTGTAATTTTACATTTTCTGATAGACACATTTAAAAATGTAAACAGAAATAGGCTAAATTAATTTTAACCCCAGTAGGCCATCCATATTTCCAGATTCCACATAAGCAGATTTTGACCTGCCTCCAATTTAAAATGTTGAGGGTGTGGGGGACACATGTAAATTTTTTTTCTTATGGATGGAACTAGAGACCATTATGTTAAGTGAAATAAGGCAAACTCAGAAGGTCCAAGAGTCCTATGTTTCCTCTCATACCTGGAAGATAGAGAGGAAAAAGGAAAAGAAAGGTGGGAGATGAGGATATCATGAAAATCCAAAGGAGATCAGTAGAGGAAAGAGACTAGGGGATGTGAGGTGCAGAGGGATGGGGGAAGTGCTGGGGAGTGATATTAATCAAATCATATTGTTACATTGCTTGCATATACAAATATGTAACAACAAATCCCATCATTATGTACAACTACAATGCCCCAATTAAAAAATGTGGAAAGAAAATAATTTTCTTGTCATTGTTCCCTAAATAATACAGTATAACATATTTACATAGCATTGACATTGTATTAGGTACTGTAAGTAATCTTGAGATGATTTTAAATACAGGGAAAGATATGCCTAGATCATATGTAAACACTGTGCCATTTTAAATAAAGGACTTGAGCATCCTTGGATTTGTGTATCCAAGGGGGTTCCTGGAACCAATCTCTCTCAGATACCAAGTGACAACTTTATATCCAAAATCTAATATCTAATCAATATTTTAAGTATTATTAAAATAGTTTACATTTTTATGTTAGTTTATAATATCTTTGAAATATGATGTGTATTTTAAACTTAACAGTGCATCTCAATTCAGACTGGCCATGTTTCCAAGTATGGCATGCTTCCTTCCCCTGACACTGCCAGTTGGCCAAACTGCCTTGCCTTCCTAAGGTGAAGTTCACCAGGGTTGGGGGCGGGTGGGGGGAGTGCAGTACCAACACTTCATTTCTCCACCTGGTATCTAAAAGACGTCTCCATCTTTACATGTTCAAACTCATAATTCTGAACAACCACAGCCTTCCAAATCTGTACCTACTATCCTTGACCCAGATCAGAAAGTGAAAATCCCGTACTTCTGTGGTTCTAGAATCACCTTTCATTTCTTACTTTCTCCTATATGACACACCTAGAACCTCATCAAATCCCATACTCAAAGAATTATCTAGAATCTAGCCCCTCTAACCACTCTTATTATCTCTACCACTTATCACTTTGGGGCAAGCCACATGACCTCTAGCCTGGATTGTTCCAAAAGCCTCTTAAATACACTTCTTTTTCCCCTTTGCTTCCTACAATCTCTTTTCCAAATGAAAATCAAAATGTTTCTTCTTTAAAATACAAGCATACAGGCTGGGGTTGTGGCCTAGAACCTGCGAGGCACTGGGTTCAATCCTCAGCACTACATAAAAAATAAATAAATAAAATAAAGGTATTGTTTCTACTTACAAATAAAAAATATATACTTTTAAAAAATACAAGCATACATCAGCAACAATAAAAAGAATTTAATATAACTGAAATTATATAAAAATACAAAAATTTAAAAAAATACAAACCACTTACAAATCAACCTAGGTGAATATATATAGTATTTTATGAGAATTATAACATTGCATATAAGTACTTTAAAAAGGGCTTAAATAAATGGGGATAGAAACCATGCTCATGAATTAGAAGAGTAATGTTCATAAAGATATCACAAAATACATTTCTAGTCAAAATATGAAGATGGGTTTCTGTTGAAATTAATGAGCTGATTCTAAAATTTGTATGAAGGGATAAAGTACTAAAAATAGGGCAGAATGGAAGAAGAAGAAAAAATACAGAGTTTTTCTAAATATCAAATTTTAGTATTAGTATAGACAAACTAACAAAATAGCTTAAAAACAGACCCACATGTACGTGATGACCTGATTGCAATAGAACTGTTGTAATTCAGTGACTGAAAAATGTTTGTAATAAACTATTAATATTAAGAATGTCTTTTGAATTGTAGCAAATCAACAGGATGAAAAGACATATACTCACATAGAGAAATGGGCAAAAGATTTAAACCTGCAAAAGGATCCAGAATGGCCAATTAACATATAAAAAGATGATCAGCCTTAGTAATTTGAGAACTGCAAATTTAAAACATGGTTAGATGGATTTTCACTGCTGCCAGGTTAGCAAAATTAAAATATCTGACAATATTAAATGGTGGTAAAGATGTAGCGGAACAAAAAATTAGAACCATTGCTGGTGGATTAGTAAAATAGTATATATGGTCAGCCATCTATATCTGTAGATTCCACATCTTTGGATTTAACCACAGATTATTATAAGTAATCTAGAAATAATTTAACACATATGGGAGGATGTGTGTAGGTTATATGCAAATACTGCACCATTTTATATAAGGAACTTGAACATCTGCAGATTTTTTATATCTGTAGGGGGTTCTGGAACAAATCCCCACTGAGGATACTGAGAAACAACTGTAATCACTTTGGGAAATGACTTAGTTTCAACTAATAAGGCTAAAAACAAGTATACCTCATGACCCACCAGTTCTATTTTTCGAGTATGTACCCTAGAGATATTCTCACACATACACGAGAATAGTCCTAACAGCACTGCTTATAACAGAAAACAGAAACCTGGAAATATCTCAAGTGCCCATCTGCGGTATCTCAGAGAAATATGTTTTGGTATATTCATGTAACAGATTACTACATAGCAGTAAACATGAAGGCATTAGAGGCCCATGCAACAACATAAAGAAATACCAGTAACATAATTTTGAGTCAATTAAACAAATCTCAAAAGAACATTTGATTCCATGCCTATGAAGTTTCCAGAATGTTCAAAACCAAGTCATAAATATATGGCCAAGATTGGGGATAGTTGCTGCCTCTGAGGAGGGAGGTTGGATAAACACACAGAGGATTTCAAAGATGATGATGAACCTCAATAAAAAAAAAAACCTAAAATGTCACACATAGGAGCGGTGTTCTTTTTATTCCTTCTACCCTACAAGCTTCTTTTAAATTGCCTTTTCTGTCTACTCAGTATTGAAAATCTTCCCAGGTCCATGGGAATTAAGCCCAGGCCCTCCAGTGGACAGACAGAAAGGTTCTCCCTAACCTGACCCTGTTCCTTACCTCTCTGGCTGTGTCCCCAGACACACCCCTGTCCCCACTCTGCCATGCTGGTCTCCACCAGGCTCCTTCTCTGGACCTTTGCCAAAAACATGCTTCAGAAACTCAGGCCCTGCCTCCTTCAGGTCTCCCTTGGAAGACCTATGCCACTTCCAGCCCCAAAGCCTCCAACCCACATTAGCCCACGGCTCTGAGCACCACAGAACCCTCTGTCCATTGACTGTCCCCTCTGCCATCTCTGGGCAGAGAATGGCCTTCCAATAAATATCTGTTGAATAAATAAAAAGGATAACAATGTAGAAACCAAATTAAAATCAAAGGTTCCATTGAAAGAACAATACATAAAACCCTTATTTATCAATTCAGAGAAACTGGGACAAAGGATTAGTTCACTATTCTAGAAGGTTTGATTTTAGAGGGGAGAAGAACTACTCCTCAATGAGCCAAGTAGTCCTGTTTATTAAAAAAAAAAAAAGTGTCAATTCAGCAGTTTGATATGGTAATTCAGATAAGGGAAATGAGGCCCCAAAGAAGCATCTATTACCAGATCTCCAAGTGAGATCAACAAGGCCACCACTTACCGAGCTCTCTTGGTGGCAGTCTGGAGTGACCCCCACTGCACTCTCCAGAGGCCTGCTCAGGGGCTGGGAGGGGAGTTCCACAGTCAGGAACTTCTCTCCAATCCTTCAACAATTGGCATAGGCCAGTATCAGCCTTTCCCAGAGGTGGCAGGATCACATTCCCAGCAAAGCTATGAAAAAGGTCTTGACCTGAGGTAGGAGGATGAGGAGTGGTGCTGGAGCCCAGTGTGGCTCAGCAAACCCAACAGTGACGAACACCGCAGCGGACCCAGGCACCCCAGTGACCCTGACCACATAGCCACTCTCACTGCACACAGTTCCTGCTCTGCAGCTCGCCTCCTCTCCCACATCCACACTCGGAGCAGGCACCAGTGGTCACAGTCTTCCTGGAGACAGCCAGCAGGCCCTACCTTGACAGACAGGCCTCTCTCTGGGTTGGGATGGCTTGGCCAAGAGCAAGGTGACCTACCTGGAGAGGTAGCAGTCAGGACCTGGAGACTTTAGATGGTGTGAGTGCCTCCATCCTTGGCCGCAGCCCCTAAGGCTCAGGGGAAGAAGACCCGGCCTAGCATGTCAGCCTTCAACATGTTTCACTATGAATCACTCACGCTGGGTCTCTGCTCATTTCCTGGAGAAAGCAGAAGTGGAGAGTCTACAGATGCCTGGTTCTGCCCAACCCCCACCCCGATGACGGAGCTGTTTAAGTTCTGTCTTGGCGCTTTGACCTTTGAAGAAAGGCCTTTGGGGATACACACTCAATGGTCAAGCTGTTCTGGGTGGAGCCGAGCATAAAAAGGGAAAGTATAACCAGGTAGCATAGATCTGAATTCAGTGTCCACTATTCGCTCACTGTGTAACCATCATGGCCTGCCTACCCTTTCTGAGCCTCTAATAAAATGAAGACAATAATGGTGTTTAGGTCTATCTAATGAGAGACACATCTAAAGTGCATCCCTGACCAGGTGCAGTGGGGCACGCCTATTACCCCAGAGGCTTGGAAGGCTGAGACAGGAGGATTGCAAGATCAAAGCCAGCCTCAGCAAAAGCAAGGTGCTAAGCAATTCGGTGACACCTAGTCTCTAAATAAAATATAAAATAGGGCTAGGGATGTGGCTCAGTAGTTAAACGCCCCTGGGTTCAATCCCTAAATAAATAAATAAATCCAAAAATAAATACACAAAGTGCATCTTAGGACATCGCATGAGCTCATCGGCCTGCTTCCACCAGGCTCAGAG